AAAATTCTCGCGCCGAAGGGGTCAACCAGCCCAGTTCAGCTCGTCGCCACCTGCTCCCTCCTCCTTTGATGGCGAAGCCAGGTTACTGAGGCAATGCAGCGCCCTCTAGCCAACCTAGGTTGTATGTGCGTCAGTACCGTTAGGAAGATACCTATGTCCAGGTTTCCACAGTAGTTTCTATGATAGAGATGGACTCGTTGTGTCATAATAAAGAAAAGAAAAAAAACGTACATCTTCTCTTGCCGACGGGTACGCACGCAGATTCCCTCCTCCACAACGACTATTTTTTGGCGCCGCTAAGTGCCTGGCCAACCAAGCACACTTATACTTTGTTATCTGCTCTGCATGATGGGATCACGGTATCACGGGATCACCGTATCACCCGCCCGCAGTGGCAGGCACATGTAGAGGTGGTAGCTCATCACATCATGATGAGCTGTGAGGTGTGGATCGGGATCAGTCAGCAATGCGGTTTGGTTTGAGCCGGTACCTAAGCTCCTATTGTGCGGGCCCCCCACATTAATTCATAAATTCAAGCAATTATTGCACGGAGGCGTCTCTCAACTACCTTTCTAAATTTTCGACACGGGAGCAGCAGGAGCGGGGAGAGGGGAGGCTCAGAAGGAGTGAAGAGAAGAAGGGAGGGGTGGGACTGCGACCCACACCACTCTCCTCCCGCATACGCCATCACCTGGCAACAACCGCCGACGCGCCTCCGCGTCGCTCCTTCGTTAAATTGTTCAGCCTTCGTTTTTGCGAAGCGCGACGAGGGCAAACCAAGAGGGCTCCAAAAACATATTCACCAGCAGCACCTTGCGAAGAGTGCAGGCAGCACGTGATGTCAAGCCTGCCCACATCTCCCCCTCTCAGCACCTCCCCCTCGCTCGGGCAACCTCTCACGTCGGGAGCGAGCAACACACACTCGCTTCAGCAGCAAACGCCGCTGCACGCAACATCATCAGCAGAAGGTTCGACGATGATGAGGAGGGAGGTAGCGCCGAGGAGAGCGTCTGCGTCGTGTGACGGGGAGAACATGGCAACGGCTGTTGCTCGCGCGGAAGGCACCCGAAAGGTGAAATATATATTCAACTTTTCGGACGCGAGTGGTGGTGGGGCTAGGGGGCCGCTTCTTGCTTCGACAGCCAGCATCGCTTTTAGACCAAGCTGTGCCTTGCGAGGGCCTCCACGCGTTTTTTTTTTAAAAAGACTGCAGCAGAAATAGGTCCGAAATCCCGAGTCAGCAGCTCAGCAGCAGGCACACACCGTGTCACACACGATATTTTGGTTCTACAAGCAGTCTCCCACTCTCAATCTCAGCACACATTATACAGCCTGAACATGTCCGAACGCCGCTTGCTGACGACGCACATATCCACTGGACGCAAAACGTCAGCGCATTCTATGGTCGTGTTGTCCAAGTTTGCTCTCCAGAGAGCAGAGAGCGCACTCACAAGTTGGCACACGCGCGCGCGCATCTTACACGTACAATTTATTTTTTGGTTCTCGTCGCGCGTGCGTACATTAGTGTATCATCCGCTATCTCGCCATCTCCTCATAAACTTTAAACGAAGGGTCTGTTCCTCAAGAATATAATGGCGGGTGTTTTCCCTCTCTTCTTTTGTTGTGTTCGTCCCTGAGCACGTTGCGGCAAAACATGCCGGGGCGGAACGCTGCTGTTGAGCTGTACTTTTGGCCCGTAGCAGATACTTTTCGAAGTATTTCAGCAAAAGGCTACGGATTATAGTGTATTTATTTTATGTAGGGTGGAAGCACCCAAAAATGCCAAAATGCTGATAGTTCACCCATCCCATGATGTGCGTCCTGCGCCTAAGTAAGGTGTACCGCTCTCAGTAGTGCTGCTGTAGACGGCATCGAGCACAGTGCGCCCCTCTAGAGTTTTGGACTTGTTTTCCCCGTGGGCGGAAGGATCTGGGTTGCTTTCACTGCACATCAAATATTGTGCTGCGTACAGCGGCATCAGATGCGGCCTTACAAGGATGTGGGGGCTGTACCGGTCTATCCAAGGGTTCGCGGAAGTGGCGACCGCCGCGTCAATTGACTTAATTGATGCGGCAGTTTTGTTTGGCGGTACCCTTTATCTGTGGTCATGGAAGGCTTGCGCGTCAGGGGAGAAGTAAAGGCATTAGAAGTTATATACACTGAGCAGAAAGAAATCGGAGAGACTTTTGAAGTGAATCTACCAGAGTGGAGACTTGCGGACGAGCTTCCCGTGTGTAAATATTATCCACCGATCGGTGACTCTTAAACTGTAACATGCTGTGTACATGAGCAACGTAGCGCTGAACCAGCAAGACCACAAAACAGGGTCATTTCCCCATCCGGCCGCATCATACGAAAAAACTTGGCATGTAGTGACGTTGTCGTGCCACCTGCTGGTTGCTTGTTGCTTTGTTGTCAAGCTGGGGTTTTGTTTCTTTCCTGTTGGTGTCTCACGAGTCTGTCTGCCTCCGTAAGGTGCAGCGAGCTATATGTCTCGACAACGTCGTGAAAGCCGAAACTCTCACGTGAGCAGACATTTGGCCACTGTCACTACAGCCGGTGATATGTATTGTGGAATGTACGTGTAGGATAAATGGACACCCTGCTGCACCGTGCCTGCCTGTGGTGGTGTTGCACGCGACCCTTCTCACCTGGACGTACTATTCATCAGCCCGCGGCGTAATGTGTTGACCAATGAAAACACAACTATCTTCGTTTGATTGGTGCCGGAACGCTCTCCCCCTGTCTGGCTGTGTTTCGACGGATGTTGTGCACACCCGCCCCCCATTCCGTAGGGTCGATTCCAAATACGCGAGGTTCGAGCGAGCATAGCGGAAGGCGCCCAATCATCTGCTTGTCGCGCCGCTTTGAGCCTCCAGGAGGATGCCGAGCACGCAATCGCTATTGTACAGGATGGGAAGCTCGTTCCGTGAGTATTGCTGTTATTCAATCTCACGTCGTTGGCGTGTCCTTTTGTTCTATCGGTGTACCATGCATTTGAGACGGCCAGCGCTGGATGCACGCACAACGTTTTCCAGTTGCTGCGAGTGCTGCCGCTGTCGTCTTGGAAGCATCCAGGCGTTACGAACATTTGTTGGTTCATGTTTTTAGAAAGTAATCAAGTAAACATAACCTCACAGAAAGACTTCCCGTTCGAGGTAAAACCTCAATCGAAAGAGATGTAGTGGATTCTTTTCAGTAAGTGGATTGAAACCGACTGGAGACTTGGTTCATATTGTTTGTTGTGCATTGGCTCTGCAAGTTTTACCCGCGGTGGCGTTTTCATTATTTTTTTCTCGGCCAAACCCTTGCGCTGTTTCGCGTGTCCGTGCGAGTTCGTGTGCCGAACGTTGGCTACCTGGCCTGTTGACACGATGCCGTTGTCCGTGTTTTTTTGTGTACCAAGCAACGATACACCATTTGTCGAGGATCGAGTTCAAAACTGGAGCACCCCCACCGTCTGTAAATCTCAGTTGTGAACACCTTGAGAGTTGTTTCGCTTGCTCTCTGATCCTTCTCCGCCCTTCGCACACCCCCTATTTGTGTCGGTGCCTGTGTCACCTTGCCTGTTCTCTCTTTTCATCTTCTCTGTCTCTCGTGCTCGTACCCTTTCGGTGCTCTGCAGGTCCCCGTTATCCACCCCACGCGCGAGAAGGCGCTCCCAGACCGAGGACGACTCGATACAACAAACAACGGCCGTGAGCGACGGAAACATACAGGCCGTCGCGAACGCGGTCGCCGCGGCGGCCGTGGCGGCGGCGGTCTCCTCCGCTCCGGGGGCAACCACCTTCGGGAGCACCGGCGGCAACAGCCCGGACTCGGCCACCGCTTACCCCAGCGCGGCCGCGGAGCCCGCGAAGCGCCAGAGGGGGCGGTTCAAGCTGCGGGACATTCGAGAGGTGTCCGCGTCGGTGTCGACCTCGTCGTCGTCCACCTCCCCCGCGGGCGGGGTGTTTCTGGGACCGAACGGTCAGCAGCACCAGCACCAGCAGCACCAACAGCACCAGTCCTCGACGACGTCGGTTATCGTCACGACGCAGCAGGATTCGTTCTCCGGTGGCGCATCGCCGCCAGCTGCGCCAGACACGCAGACCGCCCTCCTTCTGCTAATAGAACAAAACCGGCAGGTGCTGGAGAAGATCGCCGCAACAGCCGGTGGCGGCAGCAGCGCGCTGGACGTGTCCACCGGCAGCGCGGGCGCCGGCGGTGGCGGTCCTCCGCCTGTTGGAAATGGGGGCGCTGGGGCGGGAGGGAGAGGAGAGCAGCGGATGGTGATGGACAGACATCGGACCTGTAGCATGAGCGCGCTGACCCTGCAAGCGCCGCTACCACCGAAGCCCCCAGGAGGAGGGGGGGCGGGGGGGGGGGGAGGAGGGTCCGCCTCCGAGAGAAGAGAATCTNGGGGGGGGGGGGGGGGGGGGGGGGGGGGGGGGGGGGGGGGGGGGGGGGGGGTGGAGGAGGCTCCGCCTCCGAGAGAAGAGAATCTCCGGGACGAGAGGGGACTCCCGCCGGGTGGTGGGGGTCGCAGGCGCAGCAGCAGCAAGGGCAGGGGCAGCCTGGGCAGCCGCCGCGACGGCCAGCCAGTGCAGGAATTGGCCGGAACGAGATGGGCGTGGGGGCGGGTAGCGGTGGTGGCAGCGGCGGTGGTTCATTGCAGGGCGGAGGCGGCAGTGCGGGGTCCGGTATCGGGGGCACGGGGGTGGCGGGGNCGGGCCGTCGGGCGGAGAGGGGACGTCTGAGCACGCTGCTCGACCAGCTTAAGGATGAGATCGATTTTCACGCCGCTGCGAAGAGGGATATGGATCTGGAACTGAAACGGGTGAGCGAGAGACAGAGACGGACAGACATAAGGACGGCAGGCAATACAGATAGACAGGCAGACAGGTGTGGTACATGCTTCTCTTTCGTAATATTTTGGGTTGCCAGTTTCCATTATGTTTTGTTTCCGGTCGCACAAGGTAATGTGTCAACTTGTGGTCGCACTCTTGTTGCCTTCCGACCACAATTCAGGACCATCGAGTCTATGTGGTCAGGCCGTGTTGATTCCGTGTTGATTCGGCCACCCCACGCGTGACCTTTCCAAACAACGCGGCAACGCATACGAGGAACCTGAACGTGCGAGGAGCAAGCTCCAACCACTCCGAAAAATCGTTGTCGAAGAAGAGGTGGGCGGCACGCCGATTGGTCGCCGCCATCTGTTGTCGAATTTTGTGGCAGCTTCCGGACGAGGGCAACCCCCGCGAAGTTACGCGTGGCGTAGCAGGATGTTTCGCTAGTTGAAGACATGCCCACGAACACAAGAAGTACGTCCCAACTCCATTTGTTGGTGTGCGTGTCCTTTGCCGTGCCTCGCGGGCAGGTGAGGCAACGGCATCGCTTGATGGAGGACCGGGCGGCGGAAGAGAAGCAGAAAACCGCTGCATCGGAAGCTAAGGTGGCCAAGCTCCAGGCCAAGAACAAGTTCCTAAGCGAGGAGAACACGAAGCTGAAGCAGATCCTGCAGCAGATCCAGGTGCGCGGTGCAATCGGTACCCTACAAGGTTCCGGCGGGCCTGGTTGGCGATGGCAGTGGTTGTAGCGGGCGGAAGGGTAAGGGTAAGGGTATGATGTGTGAAGCTGCATTTCCGTGTCCTATCTGAGTGCATAGGCATATGCATGGGAGCATCGATAGGACTGGCGCAGGTTGCAGAGCAAAGTCTTTTGCGACAGCTTCGGCTTGGCTCAATGGCTGTGGCGTTGGCTGCCTTGTGCTGGCTCCCCGGCAAGCCCCTCTTGTCGACGCGCGTGTTCACTGCGGCGCAACCTAGGCGCAAGTGGTGATCGTTTGACATGTGATAGCCTTCCAAGCACGTCAAACACTGGGGCTCGTCTGGGCGTAACGCTTGATCAGACCTCTTGTAGTACCACGTACACGGTGCATGATCTACTGCGTCCTGGTGCCACAGTGGGTCATGTTGAAGCATGCCTTCGTTGTCGTGACCTGAGTTGCTGTTCCCTTACCGCATGGCAGGATGCGGGTGTGTTGCCGCAAGAAGCGGGGGGCGCGTCGCAGTCACACCAGAGGCAGCAGCAGCAGCAGCAACAGACGAGTCCAACAGGGATAGCCCTACCGGCAAGCGAATCGAGCTCGGGAGTGTCCAGCGGGACGCCAGCTTCGTCCAGCAGTAACAAGGGTGGGATCATGGCTCACGGACAATCACCCGGCGGGACAGGGATAGGAGGAATGCTGGCCGCCGCCGCCGCTGCCAAGGCCCAGCAGCAGGCCCAGCAGCAGGGGAAGCCTCAGCAGCAACAGCAGCAACAGCAACAGCAGCAACAGCAACAGCAGCACCAGCAGCACCAGCACAAACAACAACAGCAACAACAGCAACAACAGCAACAGCACCAGCAGCAGCCCCCCGGGCAGCAGGGAATGTGGAAGGGTCCAGGGGCGATGCAGCAGCAGCAACAACAACAACAACAGCACCCTGCTTCTATCGGTCCGGGTCGCCTCCAACAGGGACAGCAGCAGCAGCAGCAGCAGCAGCAGCAACAACAACAACAACTTCTCGGCGTGGGTCCCGGCTCTCGAATATCTCCGTCGGCACCGGGGCTGGAGGACCCGCGGTCGCCACAACGGCGAAGATCCAGCGATGCGGTTGGGGCAGAGACGGTCCAGGTGTCTGTCGTGTTTGTGGTTCGTTGTCGTGGGTTCGTGGCCTTGAATATTTATCCCCGCCTCTGTTTTTCATGGGATGGCAACGTGTCTGTAGCGTTACCCGGAACGCTCTTTCTGTATTTCGCTTTGAGGTTGAACGGCTGGAGAGCATGGGATATGGCGACGCCGTCGAGGTGTTTGTGGTGGAGTTTCGCTGGGCCTGCTCACCGGCCTGCGTTGCTCCTAGACTGAATGTTGCAGACGTTGGCGTGTGACTCGGATAGATGGCGCTCGTCGCCGCATCCCTTGCCGTGTTGTTGCTGTGCGTGACGCAGAAGACACACTCGTCAACCACAAGGCACACCTCAGCCCCACGATAGCACTGGCGTGCTGCAGACCTTCGTGCTCGTACCTTCTGGTACGTCCGCGTTGCGGGTTAGCTGCCTCTGACACTGCCGTCACCTCGCGCCCATTCTTTTTCCTCTCCGATTTGACGCAGCCTACCACCGGCCGTCACTGGAGAAATGCTTCCCACACCGGTGCCCTCGGGGTCATGAGCATGAGCGGTCCGCAGCCCTCGTCAGCCAACCCTGGACAGGGTCCATGGCAAGGAAACTGGGGTCAGGGGGGCCAGGGAGTAAGGCAAGGGCTAGGCAGCAGCACCGCTGGAGGCGGGCAGGTGCAAGTGCCGCAGCACGGGCAGCAGCAGCAACAACAGCAGCAACAGCAGCAGCAGCATCATCAACAGCAGCAGCAGCAGCAGCAGCAAATAGCTGGTGGTCGAGGTGGGCAGGCGGCATCAGGAGGGCTTCTGGTTTCTCAGGCCCAGAGGAACAGCACTCTCGCTAAGGCGCGGTCTGTGAGTGGGGTGATGCACAGCGTGCAGCAAACTCAACCGGGACAGCAGCAGCAGCAACAACAGCAGCAGCAGCAGCAGCAGCAGCAGCAGCAGCAGCAGCAGCAGCAGCAACAGCAACAGCAGGTAGGATGCTGTTGAGAAGTTCTTCGGGTACGTGTGTCCCTCCTGGGATTCAATTCCATTTTTGAGAGATTGTCGTCATGAGTACAGTGAGACAGAGTAGTTCCCTTGGGTGCTCTCGGGTCGGTGGGTACTGCCATCCACGATGAGTTGTTTGCCGTTAGTGTACCTTGCATCGTGGAGGGATTCCGGTTATTTCCTAGGCGTAAGCGTGGCTAGGCTCCGGAACGGCGTGATTTCGTCATGACGCCCTCTATTCATCTAGCACAAGTTACTTGCTGTTTCTTGCTCTTGTTCTGTCGATTCCCCCCTAAGACTTTCGCGTGCATGCCTTTACACCGCATTTCGTTCCTCGTAACATCTTTCCTCAGGTTTATGGCATGCATCGTTCTACCTCTGGGACACAAATGCACGAGAAAGTGGTGATGCCGACGACGAATTACCCCGTGCGTGCCCAGCACACCCCGCGCGCGTCCCCCTACAGCTAGCCCCCCTCCCCCCCCTCCCTCGCGCACCCCTTCCGTGTGCGGTCGTTCCCGTGCGGCCCGGTATACGTTTTCGAGGCGACCGTATCGAAAATGCCCATGTTGCACCCGCTGCCGCTGCATGAACGAACAGTTGGAGACGGTGCACGATCGGTCGGAAGAACCGCGTGCGTCGATCTGCCCTGATTTTGCGATACATGCTCGAAAGTGTAACCGCTCCGTTCTCGGCCGCGTCTCCGCGTCCTTGTTTTAAAATTGGAACTCAACCCTGGCATAGGGTAAACATCACCGCCGCTCGGCCTCCGGAACGATGTTGTACGGAAACGGGATGAGCGATCCCATCGGTATCGCCGGCAGCAATGGTGGCAAGGGCGGCGCCGGTGGTTCTGGTGGTGGTGGTGGCAGCGGCGGCTCTGGGGGCTCCGCGGGAGCGGCGGGCGGGGTAACTAACGGAGGTCAGCAAGCCGGGAGTAGCGGCGGCGGGGGTGGTATGCGTGGGGTGTCTCCCTCTCTCGAGCCAGCCCCGCCTGTCCGGAGAGCCTCTTCAGCCGCGCAGTACGTGGGACACATCGGCAGCAGCGGCGTAAGTGGTAGTTCTGGCGGTGGCGGCGGCGGGGTTGGGGTCATGCCACGCACCCAAACCAGCCACGCGCAAGGCCAGCAGCAGCAGCAGCAGCAGCAGCAGCAGCAGCAGTTGCATGGGCAGCCGGGGGGTGGTAGTAGTAGTGGTGTCGTTGTAAACGGAAGCAGCAGCGGTGGTAGTGGGTCTGGAGTTGGAGGGCAGGGCAAGCAACATGAGGTCATGCAGGCGCAGATCATGAACTCGTTCGGTCGGTCCACTCTCTCGTCGACGCCGCCATGGAAGGATTGAGCTGCGGTAGGCAATTTATAGAAATGACGTAGCTTCTAGAACACGCAGGTGCGAGCTGGGTGGAAGGGCTGCTGCTGAGAATTAGTCTCTTGAAGACAGTTGCCTGGATCCAACGCGGCCAAGGGGTGAATGACCGCCAACCCCCGCCCCCCCCCGCCCCCCCCCGCCCTTCTTTTTTGCTCCTTTACTCAAGGAATGGGAATGTTCGTTACTTTCGTAACACAGAAGTACTGTTGGTTTTTGGTGTATCTTGTCTCTTTTCTAAGTACTGGTAGGAAAAACGTTGCCACCGAATGTAGTAGGGGTGACACCACGTTTTTGGCGTTGACCGACTGAGTATGGACGTTGTGCAACGCGGAGTGGTTGAATTTCCGTCTAAATCATGCCTGAGGGATGTTCTGATGTCTTCTTTTTCGTTGTTTTTGGATGGCATCTCCAATCTTTTCCTTTATTTTAGTCTATTTCAACAATAGTGGCACGTCATGTACAAATGGCAATATTGCTGGTCTTCCGTCCCGAGGAAGTTTTTGACTCGCAGGGTGCAGGCAGGAGAACAGGGAAGTAAGCTTGTTGTGGTTGCCGTCTCCGAACGCTTCTGGGTGATTCCGCGATTAGATCGTCCATTTTTTCATGCGTCCGTCTCGTCGTGTTTTGTGTGTTTGATCCGTGGAGATACCAATAGGACGGCATGCGAGTGCATGCTCGACCACACAATGTACGTACATTCATGATAGACACGCACGACGATTTGTACAATTTCAGTCACGAACGTTTTTTTTTTTCGTGTGTAGCGCCTCGAACCATGAGACGACTTGTGAGTAAACACGGACCGATACGCATGGGCATGGATTGTTTTGGCGGTATTCGTCATGTGGCAAGTAGGTTTTGGGGCCGCATTTTTTTTCGTGTGTAGCGCCTCGAACCATGAGACGACTTGTGAGTGAACACGGACCGATACGCATGGGCATGGATTGTTTTGGCGGCATTCGTCATGTGGCAAGTAGGTTTTGGGGGCGTTTTTTTTTTTTGGCCTGCGGCAGGCCGATTACAGAACATGTCTTGTCTGCCGCTCTCACGGTTTCCCAGTCATACTAGATCGATCAATGTGTTGGCACGTGCGCCTCTTCATGTCACATGTACAAATTAGCATCGCCCGCCGCGACAGGCGGCGTGTTCTGGTTGCTATTCTTCTCCAGCGAAAGACAAGGCTGTATGCGCAGAGAGAAGAATGTTTTATTGCAAGCGTTTGCGTTCAAGCCATGCTCCATTTTGTTGTGTTCCTTCAGTTGGTGATGTTTTGCTATGTACAACCTGGAGGAGACGGCTTTGCAGTGTGCTGGGTTGTTTGAAAGTGTGACAAGCAGAAAACCGAAATCCTTCAAGTTGTATTCTGCCCGTTTAGTCTACACGCCCGATTCGGCACGTCTACGCGGCAAGGACTACCTGCTCGGGTGGGCACGATACCCTCTCCGAGGCACATTCGTGACAAGGTGTTGATAACGGATATGACGATTATCATGTACGCCCTGCGAGTTCTACATTCTAGACTATACGTTCAAGAGCGAACCTCGTGTGCTTCAAGTTATGGGCTACCAAGGCTCTTGTTTCCGAGTGCAATCAGGTACGTACGCGTCTGTTGCCCGTCTCGCACCAGCATCCGGTCATGTGAACTCTTCGCTCAGTCGATTCCGGTGTTCTCACGAGCTACCCCTCTATGCTTGCCGCGAACAAGTCCACCGCCGCCGCCAGCGACGACCACCTCCGCAGGCGGAATCGCAAAATCAGACTCGGCTAGGCTGGCCCCATACGTCGTGCCCGACCAATCCGCGCCCGATTGAGCATCGCTCCCTTCCGATGCGACAGATCCCGCGTTGTCGGTCACTCCTCCCGACCTTACCTCTTCAACGCCTTTTCTCTGTGACCCTTGTGGGCAGCCGCGGTCTTTGAGAGACCTTTGTTGTTGGTGGACTTCGTCTTGGAATGGCCGCGGCAAACGCGCCCACCGCGGCAGAATGCTCCCCGAGAGCATTGCCTTCGCCAAGGCGCCGTCTGATGATAACGACAACTTCCCTAAGCCGGACTTGGTCCTTCTCCCTCCTCCCCGTGCTTGGCGTCGAAGGACACCCCCACCAACACCAAATCTACCAACACCCGCCGCGGAGACCGGTGTCCCTCCCCCGTTCTTGTTGTTACGCTGGTGGAAACAAGGGTCTGCTTGCAGCCCGGACGGTGACGCATTGGCGGCGAGGGCGGGTTGAGCCATGGAAGCGTTCGCGGCTCTAACCTCTACCTCTTTGAGGAGCGCGATGAGCGCAGAGCAGGCGGGCACAACCTCGACTGGCCGGAGGCCTGCGTGGTTGCGAGCGGCGACGGTGGCCCAGTCGGAGTCGTGCGCGAGGAGCCTTCGAGCGATGTCGAGGTGGCCCTCTCGGCAGGCCACGTGTAAGGGGTGGTCTCCGTGCGAGTTGACCGTGAGGACGTTTGCCGAGGACTTGAGGAGCAGACGGGTCACCGCGAGGGACCCGCCCCTCGCTGCCTCGTGGAGGGGGGTGTTGTAGCCGCTTGCACTGTGTGCGCTGTTGGGGTCGGCGTCGATGGAGAGGAGGTATCTCACGGCGGGAACGTTGCCCTCGAAGGATGCCACGTGTAGGCAAGTCTCCCTGTTCGCGCGGAAGGAAGAAGGACACCAGAGTCGACGCAAACAAAATCAAATTCATGTCCGAACCACCCAAGCAGGTTGACCACCGGGTGCATAGAGCGCAAGGGCTGAAGTGAAAGGTGGTGTCGTAGGATGGTTAGTTTATTATCGCTGCACGGATGTACTACACGGCGCCTCTTACAACCGAAACGCTTCGCAGCGCACGCTGACTCCATCCACCGGAAACAGAGTCTACGTCGCCACAACCTGCCGCAACTCTGCGATGTTGCTTGCTACCAACTGTCCGTCTTGTGGCTGATGCTCACCCGAGGGTGTTGACCGCATCCACCGCCTCCGCACGATCCGCCGCCCGTTTTGCCTCGGAGACCAAGGCTTTCGCGTGGTCATCGTCGTCGGCCGTGAAGCATACGAGCCGCCAGCCGTAGTCTTCTCCCGCGGGGGCGACCCCCGTCCAGTACGAGGCGGAAAACGTCACGAGCACGGAGGATCCTTGCACCCGCATCGGCCGCTCTCCGTCGACGCCGGGAAGGCGGGCTTCGCTGGAGGTGTCACCGTTGTAGGGCCCCCTGCGAGACCAAAAAGAGGTCACCGCCCCCGCCAAACAGAGTACGTAGATAAGGGAAAGCATGGGTGTCAAGAAGTGTGTATGTCATCATTGAAAACAACCTCTGCTTATTGTGTGTATGATGTAAGTCAACCGAGTCTGCTGCATGCTCTATTTTACTCTGTGCGGTAGGTTTGTCGCGAGATACACACACAACCGGTAAGTCTATTTCCGGTTCAAGCTTGCCGGGTCTACGTTGTAGGTCCATTTTAGTAAGAAGGAAAATGCACCATGTGTAACTTCACCGAGGATCGGCGCCACCGCAACCCGAAACCGATACGCTCTGAGGCACACTTCCGCAAAACGCCCCTCCCTGCGTGACGACCAGTGGCGCATTCTCGCATCAAACCTGGGGAAGAAAAGCTTTGGATCCCTCGCGTTGAACTCCTGCAAGGCAACCTTCCCCATGCCCATGGTCGCGTTAGACGCCACATCGAAAGCCACGTAGAAAGACTCCGCGTTTGGTACGCAAGCCTCAACATCCTGCCTCACGCCCTGCGCGAAAAGCGGAAATTCCACGAGAGGGTGGTGATTTGTGTGTGATGAGGGGTCGAGGTACCACACCGCGGCACTTGTCCATCAAAGAAACATCGTGGTGCGTGAGAAATGTTGAAAGATGGTTTTTCATTGCCGTCTTCCATGACCTGATTTCCGTGCGCGAGACACATCATGTAGTCTTTCCTGTGCAGCACTGCTTTCGGGAACGCACAGGAACACCGACTGAGTGAGTTGTTTTTTTCTCTCCTCCCGCAATCCTGTGCTGTACCGCTTCGACGCAGGCATGCAAGCATGTCATCAAGATCAAGCCCGGGTTGAGAACATAACCAATTTCGTCGTGAGGGTGGTTAGTTGGCGAGCGCATGCGCGCGTACCACAATGCCATTGGGAACAACAACAACACCGCGCGAGCGTGGGCAGAGAGATGTGCGAAAACCCTTCCTTTCGAAAGTTCCTACGAATACTTACGGTCGGTGGGCCACATAAAGCTGGATTATGCGCTCTTCGTCACCTTTGGGTAAGGATGTCTGCTCTCCACCACGATCCCTTCCACACGCCGGCATAGCTGCTCGAAGGGCTCCGATGGATCGTAGCTCCTGCGGTGGGCATGCAACCATGCGGTGTGAACACGAGAACGCGTTTTTGAAATTGTGACGGAATCAACCGGAATCTGCAGCGGTATCGGAACAGTACGTACGTACGATAGCAGCACAGCAGTGGTCTCATTGTTCTGCGGTGTGGTGATCGTTGAAGTCGTTTGTATCGGCCGTACGCAAATGCAAAAGGACAGGAAGCCATCGTTGAGTGGGGCGGAGGAGAATCTCAGAAATATATACATAACCGATCGGTGCTCACTCGCATGGATCGGTTCCTCCTGAACGCGGCGCGTTGAAACACACCTGATGGGTTGTTGAGCCGATCAAGAGGGACATCAACGGCGAGTGTGACGTTCGAGAGTGCCAAAAAAAGCGGATACGAGTGAAAGCACGAACGCAACGACATATTGACAGCAGTGATGTTCGTGTTTTTGGGAACGTTAAGGAACGCTTCCAGACGGAAATGCTGCACGAGGGCCTCATTTGTCGTGCCGTATGATAATACCACAATCCTGCCAAGCTCATAGCGTGCATCTCAAACTGGTATCGCAGTGGAGTGGGACGGAATTTCGTTCTCTCCATCTTCAGACCTTTGTTTCTCTACATCTTGAGAAAATCAGTAGGGATGCTGTGAATTCACACGGGAGAGGTCAGAAAGGCTCTTGACTCTTAATCAATACTAGCAACATCCGACTTTGCAAGGGTTTCGGTTCTTTATGTGGGACTGACTTGTCGAAAAGAGGCAGGGCAGGCGCTCACCTTGACTGCAACATTTTCTCGTTCATCATCTCGCGTAGCGTTCGCACTGGCACGCCGTACCTCGCGGCGCTCCACACCGTCGAGCAAGCCGAAGCTCTCAACTCGGCCCTCTCGCCCTCCGCACAGGCGGCGGCTGCTTTCTGCTCCGATCTGCGGGCTTGCAAGGAGCTAAATGCCGAGAAAAACGCTGCTTCTATCGCGGTTTCCCTGGCTCTAGCGCATATGGCACCCTTCGTCCACGCTTCCCTAGGCAGATGCCCGTGGGCGCGCATGTATGTACGTATTCCGACGGAGGGGGGTTCGGCGTGGATATTGTGGAAGTGAAAAAGAGACGAAAGGATTAGCGATAGGGGGGGAGGGAGGGGGGGGGCGTACTCTTATGTTTTGCATGCCTTAGCGGTTAGACCATTGACCACGCGTCCTCGAGAGGACGGAGCATTGTTCCCACAGGACCTAGCACCGATGGCCAATCGTTCCTTTCTACTTTGCCAAAGGTGGCTCAAAAATGTCTTCCCTAGTCTATCTATCCTAACGATATCCCTTCCCGCCTTTTCAACCCACCTCCTATGCCCCAGTACAGCTACCGTCCTTTCCTCTCTATTTCATGCCTCAAACATCTCCCTGTACGTCCCATCCATTTTTCCCAGCTCAGTCACGTGCACTTCCCTCTCTTTCTTGTACCACGGACATTCCGCGATTTCATGAACACGGTCTTCGTATTCGAAGTCGCAATCGCATTTGAACTCGCGTCTTCGTCGTCTACGGTCCATGTCTTCGTCGACGTTCTCGAAGGCCCATGTCCCCGGTCCTGAATTTGACCTTAAGCTTTGTTCCTGCATCCATTGGTCCATGTAGGTAGTCCTTGAACCCTATTCCTTCCTTCAACATTCCGTACACTTCTAGACCCTCCTTATCCTTGGATTCTTTCCTCAGATTCTGTTCTTCTCTCTCGGCACAAGCAACAGATATCTTCTCCTTGAATCCCTGTAAACCCTCCGTTTCCAGCGTTTCATCGTCGTCGATGTCGAGCCCCTTCCATACGTCCTCTACAACCT